CAAAATGTTTTAAAGCATTTAGGGAACATATACAAGAATGGTTCAAAATTTGCTTCACAATTTAAAGAATGCATCTTTGGATACGAGCAAGAACATGAGTTATTTGAGGCTTGTAAATTTTTGCTTGATGAGTATAATTTGCAAGATAACATTTGGTTGAGTTCAACTTAGGCATTGAGAGAAAAATGGGCACATGTATATATGAAGCGGACTTCCACAGCCGATATGAGGAGTACCCAATTGAGTGAGAGCTTGAACTCAGCATTACAGAGGTACTTAAAGCCAAGCCATGATATTATTCAATTCTTTACTCATTTTTGATAGAGTTATAAATGACAAGAGATATAAGGAGACAGAGACATTATACCATGCTAGGCAAAAGTTACCTAAGACGAACTTAAAAAGAGCTCCCATGTTGGTGCAAGTAGGACATTGTTACACTCCTCCTATTTTTTAGTTATTTCAAGATGAGTATGACATATTCCAGTGCGCTATCGCGAATCCATATAATGTGATGGATGGATGTCATTAATTTGTGGTTGAATTGTATGATGAAAAGAGACAGTATTTGGTGTTGATCAATGTTCATGAGCAAACAGCTGCATGTAGTTGTCGAAAATTTGAAATGATTGGGATATTATGTGGTCACGCAATTAAAGTGCTAGATACAATGAACATTAAACAACTTCCCTACACATACATAATACAGAGATGGAGGCGAGATGCAAGAAAGTTATGTAATGATGACTTTAGTGTCACACCAAATGAGGAGGATCCTAAGTTAATGGCCGCAACACGTTATAGACAGTTATGTCCTAAAATGGTACAATTAGCAGCTCGTTGCTCTAACCTTAAACCTGCCTATCCGTTGGTGAACCGAGGTGTTGATGAGTTATTCAAACAAGTGAAAATTATGTATGCATCACTTAGTAATGAAGGCAATGGTGGTGATGACGGCAATGATGGTGTTGAAGAACATGCTTCCTTTCAAAACACATGTGCAAGTAAAGGAGTGGAGAACATTGACCCTAACATTCTACGGGTAAAAGGTTTGAAGAGAAAAAATGGTGGTTACAAGGGTTGGGGTCGACTAAAGTCTTGGCATGAGAAACAAGCAAAGAAGAAGATAAGAACTTCTCATAGGTCAAAGGTACTACGTCTTTATATTAAAGAAGATTTAGAATACTTGTTTTTCTTTATTTTATTTATGTTGTGGATTGCTTGTTTTGAAGGTTTCTCAACCAATTGTATCAATGAGTGATGAGCAAATTTCATTGTCTCGTGAACATTGTACTCATTCTAATCCATTGTCTTCACAAATATCAAATGGACAGAAAAATGCTCAGGTATGTTAGATTAATTATACTATATTTTCATACTTTATTATTGAACTTCTTACTTCATTGAATATTTTTTTATTCATGTTGGGAATTTCATTTGATGCTGAATCTTGTTTCGTGAATGAAAACGTCTATGGTTTTTTCAATGATAACTACTGATCCTGGACGGTTGCTGGATGTGCTGCTGTTGTGCTGTTGTGTTGCTTGTGTGTTCTGATTGGCGATTGTTGGCTTGTTTTTGTTGTTGCTGTTTGTGCTAGGTTTTTGTGCTGCACGGCTGCTGGACTGCTGCTGCACGGTTGCTGGACTGTTGCTGGATGTGCTGCTTGTTTGTTCTGATTGGCGACTATTGGCTTGTTTTTGTTGTTGCTGTTTGTGCTGGGTCTTGGTGCTGCATGGTGTTGTTGGACTGCTCTGTTTTGTTTTGTGCAGAGTTCTCTATTTTGTAATCCTTTTGTTTGCTCATTTTTTGATATCTTTTTGTTTCTTTTGCAATGGGATGAGGGATCTTCTGTCCAACTATCTAGAAGATCATCCATCCCTTTGATTCACTTTGAATATGTGGAATGCTCAACCATCATTCTGGAATGCTCAATGAATACAAATACCAATGCCTCACCAAATTCTAATACATTTCCATAACTGAAAAATAAACTACTACACTGCAAGTTTTTTTTTTTTTTTTTGAGAAAACAAAAATTTTATTGATAAAATCAATGATTACAAGAAGTAAAAAACAGGCTGCCTTGAAGAAGCCCTATTACAATCAAAATTACTAATAGGCTACCTATAATTCCTCAAGAAAATTCAGTGCAACTTGCTACATGGACAGCGTAAGAAGCCAAGAAGTCTGCAAGGTAATTAGCTTCCATGTATATGTGACTTATCGTGACATGCAGCCTGTTAAGGCAATCCCAACTGATCCAAAATATACTGGCACCTCCATGACACAACAACCTTCCTCAATATCATTTGGACTAGAATTTGCGAATTAGACTCAATGAAAATCTAATGATCCTCCAAATTACATCACAAAACCAGCTTCATCCCTTTTATTAAAGCCATACATTCTGCCTGCATATTGATTCCCAAAATATGTTAAGAAATTGACACATAGTCTAATCCAACAAACTTAATGTACAAATGAATCTGATACTCCATTAAGACTATGATCTAATTTTTCCTCTATCAAATAAGGAGTAATTTAGAGAAGATTTCTCCAACAAATTAAAACAAATTTATTAAGATGAAAAAATAAGAAGACTATGGGTCAAACTGGATGCAAAAAATAAAATTATACCATTCATTTTTTGTATATTAGAAAGTGATTATAGTAACTACATCTATTAATTTTAGGAGCCCAAATACTTTCAATTCACAATGAACCAAACCCACAATACATCACATATTCTAAAGTGCAAATAACATATCATATCACACACCATGGATCCCAAAATAAACCTAGATCTGATCATATCTATAACCATAGATCATAAACAAAAAACATAGATCTGAGTGAGTGGAGAAAAAAAATAGTGAAAATTGATCAGGTTATTTACCTTGATCAAGAGCCCTTCAATGAGGAAGACGATGATTGGAGCAGTTGCTTGTGTCGTCGTTGGGCCGATTGACTGGAGAGCTTCAGAGAGACAGAGAGACTTCGGTAGCAATTTGGCACAGGTTCGCTGCTGTGGAAGACGAAGGATGCCGTTGATGAAGGCAAGGCTGATTTGTTTAATGGAAAAAACGTCTAATTTCTTTAACGTGGAAGGGCTGCTGCTGAAACGACACCGTTTCATTTATAGGCTGTTTTGTGGGGCCACTTACATGGTGTCGTCTCAATTAACCGCATGTGTGCTGTTAGACTGCTAAAAGCAGAGGAGCTAGAGCCCCATCGGGACTCTATCACTACTCGGTATAATATCAACTCAAAAAATTAAGTCAATTTTTTTAAAATTAAATGTACGCCGTCTGTTTTGCTTTCTTTATTTTAAGTTTAACTTTTGATATAATTTGAATTTTTATCTTTCATATATTTTTTCACCCAAAAATATCACATCACTCATTTTTATCACATATTTAATTATTTAATATCTATTTAATATGTAATTTAACATATGTCTATACACGATAATATATACATGTTGAAAAAATTTTATCGAATTATATATTTTGAGAAAATTTGGTTGATATTTTAAAAAAATAATGAGTAAAAATAAATTTTAAATATTATTATTAAATATAATATAATTTATTTTTTAGACAATTGAATTTTATATTTAGTCTATATCATAAAACAGCTGAGAGTTTAAATTGTTATTTCTACATATTTTTTCCCTAATTCCATCGCATCCCATATTATCTTTCAATGTTCTGTATTTCAATCATCTCTTTTTTTAAATCTCTTTCAATGTCTTGTATCTCAATCATTACTTTTTAAAAAAAAAAACAATCACCAGCCCCTTCACTTTTCCTCTTTTCTCTATTTCTGTCTCTCTCGATCCTCTGTCCTCTCTCCTCTCTCCTCTCTCTAACGCTTGACATCCACCAACGCCACCCAGCCCCACCAGCACCCTTTTTGTGTTTTGAAAATCACCACCCATCTCTCTTCTCTCTCTCCCTCTCTCACGCGAGACATCCACCAGCGACACCAAATCTGGGGACACCACCACTCTCACTCAGGTAACTCATTCTATCTCTCTCTACCATCCCAGCCCAGCCCAGCCCCAACAACACCCGTACACATCGCACACACCCACCCACGTTGCTCGCACCCCTCACCCACACACGCACACTGCTCACACATCTTGAAGACCTTCGGCGAACTCTCTCTTTCCTCTTTCCTTTCCACCGTAGGCTGCTATAGCCCCATCCCTTCGTAATGCACATGAAGTGTTCGTCAAAATGCCTAAGAAAAATACTGCCAAAATCACCACTGCCTACACCCCTTACATTCCAAATCAAGTCATTTATTTCATGCCCCGATGCATTACGGAGGACCTTATTGGGGTTTCTGGGAAGTTTACCCCAGTTGGCATCAAGGCTTGAAACCTTTGCATACATGTTGCACACGCACACAACACACAACACAAATCACAAATGCATGTTTTAGGAAATAAAATTTCTCAGTCTTCAATCTAAAAGTTCTGTTTAGGGGTTGGAATGGCGGTGGTGGTGGTGACATGTTTATGATCATATTGCTCATGACGGACTCGAAAGACGAGATTGCGAAGATTCGAACTGTGGGGTTTTATGCTCCATCATCTTTCTCTGATCTCTACCACCAAACAAAAAAAACTCTCTCTTCTCTGATCTCTTCCGTCGCTCACTCTTATTGACTCTTAAAATTTTTTCTCTCGTTCTCGTTCTCACTCTCACCCTTCGCAGAGCTTTGGGCAATCGATTGCTCACCATCTTAATCAGTCTCAATGCTCACAAACTCCTCACCTGCGAGATTTGTCACAGCTAAGCAACTGAAAGTCCAAAACTAGTAGGAAAAAGTGAGTGTTTGTAATTGAAATATTGTTTCTAGGTTTCTGTGAAAGCCATCTTTCCCTCTTTGAGCCTGTGTCTCTATCTATGGGAGTTTTTGAGTTTACGAGAAAGTTCAAGGGACTCTGCAGTATCGAAACCAGATTCAATGCGGATCAATTTAGGTATATGCAAGGAAGAGGCTTATCAGACTTGAAGAACATCAATGGCCAGGATGAGATCCTGCCAGTTCTGATCGTTGGTGCAGGACCAGTTGGGCTTGTTCTCTCTATACTTCTCACCAAATTAGGTATCTACTGAACTCTCTTTACCAATTTTGAATATACCCTTTTCCTCTGTTTGCTTGCTAAGAAAAATCATGAACTGAAAGCGAAGACCACTTGCAAACTTATGCTCTCTATCCATTTACTTGGTGTTGTATTGACTAATATTAGCATTGCCTTTTGGTATTCAACCGCCATAACTTACTAGCCAAATCTGGTGAATTGCTTGCTTATTTTTCAGAACTTTGTTTGTTTTTCCAAATACACATGGAACTTTTTTAGTCATCAAGTTACTTGTCTGAATTATTTGTTTTGGTATTGTAGGCTTGTTTTGGGTGTTGGTTGCCCTTGTAGCATAAAAATTGTTGTTAGAGCAATGGCAGCGATCCTTGTGGTATTCTAAGACCACCATTGTTAGAATTTGGTGTTTTGCATTTGAGAATGCAATGAAAGTAGTTGCTTCAGATTAACTGATGCTTCATGGTTTTCCTAGGCGTTAAGTGTGCAGTTTTGGAGAGGAGCAGGACATTTCCAAGACATCCACAGGCACACTTCATCAACAACCGATCTATGGAGGTTTGTTTTCTTACATTGAGATTGTAGTCTGATTCGTCTTGAAAATATGAACAACTCCATTGAAAAGTGTAATTTGGATTTGATGTAGTTTTCTTTATCAGATCTTCCGCAAATTGGATGGCCTCACAAAGGAGATCCAGAGGTCCCAACCACCAGTAGATTTTTGGAGAAAGTTTGTATACTGTATATCTCTCACTGGTCCTCTTCTTGGGTCAGTTGACCATATGCAACCTCAAGGTAGGATGAATATCTGTAGTATCACAATCTGGTCACCTGGATGGATGATTTTCCAGAATTTCTTATTTTGCTGTCTCTATTATTGGTCATGGGGGTGTAGAGATTATAAAAAACTGGCCATTATTGTGACAGTTTCCTTATTTATGGTTATAATTTAATGTAAACTCATGGGTTTCTAGATTTTGACAGGGTTGTCAGCCCAATCTCTGTTGCACACTTCTCACAGTACAAACTGACCAACTTACTACTTAAGCAGCTCGAAAACCTTAGCTTCCATGTTGGTACTTGTGAAGGCTCAAAAGTCTTAATCAAGGGCCACTCAAGGAAAGGGAGATATTAATGGGACATGAGTGTGTATCAATTGGTGCCACTGACCGCTGCATTACTGTAACTGCATCCTTCCTCAAGGACGGGGTTTATATGGAGAATGATATCCAGTGTAGTTTCCTAGTTGGGACAGATGGTGCAGGAAGTACTGTGAGGAAGCTTGTAGGAATAGATATGAGAGGCGAAAAGGACTTGCAGAATCTTGTTAGTGTCCATTTCTCAAGCCAAGACCTTGGACAGTACTTGCTCAGTGAAAGACCTGGCATGCTATTTTTTATTTTTAATACTGAAGGTATAGGGGTTCTTGTTGCTCATGATCTGAAGCAAGGGGAATTTGTATTGCAGGTAGTGCAGGCTGTGATATATGTTCAGGGATTTCTGTTGGTTTATGACTGCTGTAACCTGCACAATAAACCTACAATTTGGTCGTTATCTTTTGCCTTGCAGGTACCATTTTATCCACCTCAGCAGAAGCTTGAGGATTTCAGCTACAAGGTATTTTTCTGTCGTTACCAAATGATCTATTACGGTCAAGAAGATATACAGAAGAATGCTATTTGGTAAAGTAATAAGAATATAAGGGATTTTTGCTATTGATATTCTGCATATCAGATATACTGGGTGTTTAGGAGGTTTAGGTGAATGGTATAGTATAGCAAGTAAGGATATGATGATTCCATTATAATCGTATTGTTCGGAGGATTCAACTTTTTGTAGATGTGTGAAAGGTTAATCATCAAATTGGTTGGCCAAGAGCTTGCAGACATAGATGTGATAGATATAAAGCCATGGGTGATGCATGCTGAAGTTTCTGAGAGATTTGTATCTTGTGACAACCGAATAATATTAGCTGGTGATGCTGCTCATCGTTTTCCTCCAGCTGGTGGTTTTGGTATGCAACTTGTTTTGTGCGGTCTGAAAATTTATTTTGCATTTGTAATGAGAATTTCTTTGAATGCTGCAAGGTATGGAGACCCCATGGACAGCAATGTACTGTACTTAGTTGCATTTGGAACCAGTAGATATTCCTTTTTTCATCTTATTTATACATGCATGGAGGAACTCTGATTATAAATACAGGAGGGATAGAGAAAGGAGAAAGTATATGATAAACTTCGTAGAACTTAAGGGCACTGAGAATCAAGGAAAAGGGAGGGGGAACAAAAACGTCAGTGTTTGGCATCCGTGTATGGTATATCAAAATTCCCTCCATTTTTCTAGAGTGCCAATGATAGTAGAAAATGCAGTAAAATTATGTCTCATAATATTTTGTTCTTTTGTATAATTTTCCAGTTAGGGAGTGTCCATTGTCATTGTTTGACATGTGTATGAGGTTTGACAATGAATTAGTATGTTGTTAGTTTTACTAGACTGCGAATAGGTTCTTAATTTTCTGGAACTCGAGAAAGAGATCAATTACAAACTCTATACGTATGCAGGAATGAATACTGGCATTCAGGATGCTCATAATCTTGCCTGGAAATTAGCCTCTGTTATCAAGGGTACTGCTCCATTGTCACTTGTTGCCACTTATGAAATGGAACGTAGGCCGGTAGTGCTCTTCCTTTAAATATTTTTTAATTCTATGTTTCTGTTAATACTATACTTATAATTTGATATTTATTAATATCCTACTCTTTCCATTACCAGATTGCAATTTTCAATACTGAACTCAGTGTCCAAAATTTTAGAGCAGCAATGGAAGTTCCTGCTGTCCTTGGTCTTGATCCAACTATTGCAAATTCAGGTATGGGAACAAATTCCATTGCATTGAAAATTGGGTCCCGTATTTGTCTTTGGTTCAACCACTCAAAATGTGGGTCAAAGAAATCCTCCTTGCTTTTTAGTGGTCCATATCTTTCTTCTTTTTTGACAGTGCATCGAGTTATCAATAATACGTTTGGTTCCATATTACCGTCTGGACTACAGAGGGTGATTCTGGATGGGCTTTTCACTATAGGTCGAGCACAGCTTTCAGATTTTGTCTTGAATGAGAACAATCCATTTGGTTCTTTGAGACTTGCTAAACTAAGGAGAATCTTTGAAGAAGGAAAGAGCCTTCAACTCCAATTTCCTGCTGAAGATCTAGGTTTCAGGTATTATAGTTATCTGGGCTTACATTCTACCCCATCGTACATTTCTTTTTACTTGTTACCGTCTATAGTTCAAAGATAACCACATGATATGCACAAATAACTCCATAATGATGATGACAAAATGACCTGAGTGCCCCCTACACATAAGAGTAGATATATGGCGATTATTCTGTCTCTCAGTTGACTTTCCCTATTATAAGACATTTAAGTTAGACGAAAAATGTTATGACTGTATCTTGGTCCAAAAAGACAAGGTTCTGTGGTTACATTTGAACCATAGGGGTGTACCGCAGGAGGGAAAAGTGATATTTGCCATTACTTTACAAACTGTAGCTAATTATCATCAGCTCATGCCATTGTTGTGCTGACGTACTTTGAGGTGTTGGATATCGACGTTGACGTGTCTGTTCCAACAACCTGGATGTTTCTGTGATAAGTCCATCTGAACTTGTGGTTTTAGAATTGTGTAATTTCTTTTATGGCTATGTGATCTAGTCATTACATCAGGAGAAAATGAGTCATCTATGAGATATTATTGATTCAGCCAGGGCTCACGAGCTTCCAGATGCCTTTCTTACTCGTATGTTTCATTTTAGGTACCTTAAGGGAGCAATTGTACCAGATGATGATAGTGTGTTGGAAGCACCAGAAGCCCCTACTGGTCGTAGGCGGGACTATGTTCCCTCTGCAGATCCAGGCTCAAGGCTGCCTCATATGAATGTAAGGTTGTTAGCAAAACTATCAAGTGAGGTATGCACAGTTTCATCTCCTTTTTTATCCTTCTCCCTTCTCTTTCAGGAGCACTGTGCATTGTTTTTCTTGTTCCCTTTTTCCTTTTGCCAAGCAGCTAACATTCCAACCTTGTGTATCTTGATGATTCTGGAAGTCTTAATTTCCTGACTCCCATTGTTCATTCCTGTCACTAACAACCTATAAGTCACGAGTTTTCTATTTTACCAAACCTTATCTTTTAGTCTCCAAGTGGGTTTCAACTTTGAAACTTGTGCTGATGGATTTGCATCACATTTTCCATTCTTGTTTTCTTTATGCTTTAAGATGTTTTGTAGGAAACGTTTTCCACATTGGATCTCGTAGCAGTGGATAAAGTTGAGTTTCTTCTTATTATTGCACCAGTGGAGTCATCCTACCGCCTAGCTCATGTTACATTCAAGATAGCAGAGGAATTCAATTCTTCCGTAAAGGTGTGTGTGGTGTGGCCAGATGGTACTGTTGATGGAGCTGCAAGAAGTAAGGAAGCATTTGACCCTTGGGAAAATTACATAGACGTTGTGGAAGTGAGGCGGTCAACAACTTCATTGTCATGGTGGGATATCTGCCAGATGACACACAGAGGAGCCATTCTAGTTAGGCCCGACGAGCACATTGCTTGGCATGTGAAGTCAGTAGTGGTTGGAGATCCTACTTTGGAGATGAAAAGGGTTTTCTCTTCCGTTTTAGGAGTCCAATCCACCGGCCTACAGTAAATGAATATGCTTGGCAAATAATTCAATACTTGCATGAAGGATCAGGAGCTGTCTTCCCCTTCAAGCACTGGCCATACTGAACAGCACAAGCATGGTGCGAACTTCGCTTCTCTATGTTGATGGGAACTACAGTAGGAAAATAACACTGAATGTGGTCAATGACATTTAATTAACTGAATTTTTTTTGAGGCTTCTTAAACATTTTACAAGACAAGAATCCTAGGTTAGAAGCACTCCTGAATCACCTTCTTTTAGATTGGAATATTGGATAGGTGTTACTTGAGGTTTGCAGAGATTTGTTGTGTCCATACTTGCGCTTTACCTGGTTGATTTTCATGTAGATGCTTATATTTTCGGTGTCTCTTTATCTGTCAGCTACACGCCATATGATTTAGCATTTTTTTCTCTGTAAATCTTTCACTAATCCATGCCAGAGCTAGTGCCCTACATTCCCAGTCCCCGCCCCAAATCCCTGACTAGGGACATTGTGGGAGACAGGTGATACCACTGAACTACAATGGTGGCTCATCGTTGCGGAGATTTACAATAATCCTCCGTTTGGTACGATAGAAAATTTGAAGGATGAAAAGTTAGAGGGATAAATAAAACATCATGTTTGGTAAGGAAGGAAAATAGGAAGGATGAAAAAGTGGATGAATTAATTTTTTTTTTAACTCACCAAAATTAATCCCTCCAAAATTGAAAGGAAAATGTATGAAAAGTTAATTATTTATGGTGACATATATTTTATTTGTCTATATATCTTTTAATAAATATATATATAATTTTAAAAATAAAAATAAAAAAATATTTTTTTCATCTTAACTAGGTGTGAAAATTTTCAACTCAATACGATGACACGACTCAAACTCAGTATGAATTTTGACACTAATTTGATTATAATTTAACACGAACTTAAAAATGACTCGACACGTTAATAAGAAATATAAAAGACTCATTATTTTATGATTCAACATGAATTTGACATGACACGATTCGATTGTCATTCTTAATTTTAGCCAGCACAAAAAAAATTAAAAAAAATTAGTCATTTTTATTTTTCATCTATCCAACCAAATACAAAGAAAAGAAGGTGTATCATTTCTACTTTTTATCATTGAAAGATAAAAATTGTATTTCTCCTACTTTTCATTATTTCTACCTTCCATATTTCCTACCAAATGGCGCATAAAAGTCAATCCACACTATTAGTGAAAAATTTGACATAACAATTTACTATGAATACAAAGAATACTCGGTTAGAGCAACTCCAAAAGGCTAGTTAAAACTTTTTTTTTAGTTGTTTTAGATAGTTTCTCTTTAAAATGTGGCTTCAACAGACTAACTATTACCCTATCTATTTTCTATATCCCCATTTTCACTAGCTACATCTAGCTAACCACTTATCCTTAGTTACTTCAGAAGTTGTTGGTCTAGTGTTTGGATGAGAAGATCGATGGAGAGATGATGACATCTAGTTTGATCAAACTCGAAAGTTTTGAAGTGATTTTGTATTGGATTTTGTGATTTAATTTGAGAGAATTTGGTTTAAGAGTAGTAATTTTTAGGAGATGAGTTCTCTGTTGTAGCCTATAATTGATTAAATTTGTACAATGTATAGTTAAATTGTTATTTTTTGAATTTTATTATTGAAAGTTAGGTAAAGTTAGTTGAAGTGGTTAGATAAAATAGAAAACGTTATTAGAGTGAATTTAAAAAAGTGATTAGTTAAATAAGATAATATAATATTTAAATATATTTTGAGTAATTATTTTAGATAGTATTGTTTGCGATATTCTTACTATCCACAAGGTAATATGCCAGTTCTAGGTAACAAAGTCATGCTAGAAATGTTTTGCCCCTTCATGTCTAGATGTATCATTTCTTTGCTTCAAGCGCTAATATCAATAAATGCACCTTCAATGTAATAGTTCAAATGAAAAGATGGTAACCTAATACAGGCATCCACTAATTGCGTTACAGACAACAATATTGTATTCAATGTTAAAAGACAGGTCTGCCAGTTGCATTCCTCAACCACAGAGGGATCCTATCAATGATCACAGATGCTGTGAAATGTAATCTGCCGGAGGATCAAGCTTTAATACGAAAGCCCGCGACTAAATGTACAATTATTGCCGTGGTAATTCCGAGCAACCCACCTGCAACAACCTGCAAAATACATTTGAAAATTCAGAAGGGTTTTCGCTAACAAAAACTAAAATTTTCATCAGCTTTATATATAGTTGCACCGAAGGAATCTCCAACCTACAGGCTGTTATAAAATTTATCATTAAAGACGGGATTGATCTTACAGGGAAGTCAGAGGACGAGGAGAAACAAATTATAAATGTTTATGCAAAGATAACAACAAAGTTCTCAGAAGAGAGAAGTGTAGTACGTTAGGCAAAGCAGATAAAAAGAAAAATTAGTTCTATAAATAAATATGGGCAATCCGCCATGATAGGTGTACTAAAAGTCCAAATTTAATAGACCTTAATCTTTCACAGCATGAAGTCCCTATACGGGTAGGAAAGATGAACGTCTGAGTTTTGCAGAAAATCAACTTCAACTTTTAAAAGGTGCAAGTTTCATCTTACAAAAAGCCTGTGAGAAAGAACATAATTTGCCAATAATGTACTCAAGGCTCAAGCGATAGCTCAACAGGGATAAGCAAATAGAATTGGCCTTTTTTAATAAAGGTTCAATGAATAACCAAGTTTCCATTTGCCTTGTCTCTTCCTCTACAAAGCATAACCATAAGAAAAGATACTGTAAAGTCCTTTTTCTTAATACTCGGTCTTCTCGCCGCGTTTTGTGTATTTTCAAGCAATTGGAACATGCTTTTGGCAACACATGCACCTTTATATTACTGTGGTAACCCGTAAGGCATTGATAGATCTGTAGCAATATAATAAAAGCTATCAAAGAGAAACAAATGCACCCAATAAAAGGTGCAGGTGGCACCAATTACAATAGTGGAAGGCAAGTCATCCAAGACAGTAAAGACCCAAATGCAGCTGTAATCAACTTTTTGACTTGCACAAAAGCAAGCATGCCAACAGGAAGGGGTGGAGACTGGTGAGAAAGAGAGTTGCAGTTAAGGCAGGGAAACTACACAATGACCAATGGCCTGTGAGCAACGTGGCATAAATAAACTTAAATAATCAGAAAGGACTCAAGTTCATCTCAAGGTTATATGTTTTATTGTGTAGAGTATAAGTTTTTTGGTTCATATTTGTGTTTGCTCATGGAATGTAACCTACATTTCTCTACAGTTTACACTATTGATTGCAAACCACGGTGAACAGTAGCATAAGTATAATATGCATGGTGGCATTTTCCAAAATTCCTTATTACAAAGGAGAAACGGGCAAATATCCAGAAAAGCAAAAAACAAAAATAAAAATTAATATACAAAGATTATCATCAGTACATAACAAATGGATGGGTTTTCATCTTAATTTGCTCTGAGTAATCAAAGTAGTATGATGAGGATCTATTTAAAAACAAAGCCATCCATAACAAAGATTAATGATGAGGAATACAATTACCACTTAAGACATCAAAACAAACCTGAGGAGGGGTGTGGCCAAGAAGTTCACGTAGTGGTCTGATCTCAGCCAGAGGATGTTCAGCGGGAAGTTCGTATACAATTTGATTCAAAACCTGAAAAATCCCGATTCAAACATATGAATAAGTAAAATGCCTAGAAGGCAGTTCCAGCAGCTATGTTGTATATCTATTCAAATATAAATGAATAAATCAACTAAATACAAATCCCAATTCAAACATGTGAATAAGTAAAATGCCTAGAAGGCAGTTCCAGCAGCTATGTTGTATATCTATTCAAAAATAAATGAATAAATCAACTAAATCCAAACCTCTGCCTGGCGTCCAGCGTGTAACCTCACACCAGTTGCATCATACATCACCTGCCACAAAATTCTGCTCATAAGAGACATAAAGCATCTATAATACAATACCAGAAGTGAACATTTTCCTCATACAGTGACCTCTTAGTCTTTCTTTTACTTTTCTTTTTTTTTCCTATTGTGGTATGTTCACTAAAAAATTGATCAGCTAAGTCATAACAAACAACATAGCATCACTGGACAAATGAGAAAAAATAATTGTAGTTATAAATAAGTGCATTGGACATTTGCATCGTGTTCTTTTTTAAGTATTTGTGCTACTGGCACAAGAATCAACAATCAAAATTATGAAAAACCCAAAAAATTAAACGCAAATACATTAAACAAAAATACTTGGAAGACAGGAGGTGTTTAATCACGCACAGCTAATTTTGCTTGGCTATTTCTCACAAAAAAGTGAAATTGTGAGTTTGAACTTATAGCAGCCACTCAATTAACAAGAACCAAACCAGGCAATGACCCCATTTCTTCTAAAATTAGAAATAGGGGCACATGACTTCTTGTAGTTATATATCGGAAATGACACAAAGTTACATTTTTCTACAACTGATATAGACAAAACACAGGTCACATGAAAGTGGAATCAAGGCAGTGATATAGATAATAACATTTTCAAATAGATGCATCCACAACTAATATATTCTAGCTTTCTTGAGATGGATTATGACCAGATGAAGAGAGGGATCATACAACACATGCTAAGATAAGTGCAGCTGCAAACAGTGATCCTCCAAAGCCCTCTTGCAAACCAATGGCCAATGCAAGAGCAGTGACAGTTGCAGAATGGGATGATGGCATCCCACCAGATCCAACAAGTCGCTTCAGATCCCATCGTTTCTCCTTGTACCTGCAAATCTATGACATATTAAGACTCTTAGGATAAACAGTTACAATTCTTAGCTACACCAAGAATTGGATCCAAACCAAGTAAGAGAATGTACCAAACAAGATATTTATTAAAATGTAACCAAAGAATTCAGTTGACTGCATAATTTCACATATTGGTTTCTTTTCCATTGGCACTTAGACCTATGTTTTTCATTAGGAGCAAGCAGCCCACCGGGTTATCATACAATAAGCTAATCTCAAGAGTCTAATCAGAGTGCCATGCACTGCTTGTCACTTTTAAGACGAAAACACGGTCAATACAAACCTCAGAAAACCTACTTTTAGTAAACAAATGCACACTTGAATATAAGAACTTGACTAGGTCTAGGTGACAAATGTCTGTTTTTTTTTTGTTCTTTCTCCACCAAAGGATCAGAAATTTACGAAAAATTATAGCTAACCCATAGCAAGAAAGTTCAAAGACCAGATATGCAAGAATTGAACTGGAATTGAATGATAGCATCCAACCAGAACCCAGAAGAAATAATACATGACAGAGTCACCTAACAGAATCAAGATCCAGTTTTCAATGGTTTATTGCATTTAACGAATTTCATAGATATGCATTTGTGTGTTGATAAACAGGGGAATTACCAGGTGGTGAAGACCTTGATGCATTGGGCGATAGCGAAAGCTAAGAAAGCAGAAATGAGAGGATAATTCGCTAATATTGATAACGAAGATGAAGACACAGTCGACCCTGTTACAGCCGGCAATTCCTCCATCGCCTCTTTCTTTCTCCCTCAAGAATCCACCAAATCTTTTCTCTTTCTCCCTCTAATTAAATGATCCCTTCAAAATTTCAGGTGATCTCAATTCAAGATTCCTGAGGAAGAAGAGAAAAAGGCCAGAAGTAGTTTGCAGAAGTTGAATAGGGTGGAGAGAGAATCGAAGAGATGGTTCGTTATTCTCCTCTATCTCTCTCTCTCTCTCTCTGGCGTGTTCTTTTCACCAACGGTCTGTCTCTTTCTCTCTTTCTTTCTTTCTCCAGGAGGGAGGCGCTTCAACTGAATATGCCACCAACTTGTTCAAATCATGTCTAGAATATACCCTCCAAATTTGGCTAACTCTTCTCTCAAAAAAAAGGAAAGGAAAATAAATTTCTTCACTTGGCTGCCCTGCCCACAGCCATCAAACTTTACTTATTATTTTTTTTTTTTAAGGGCAAGGGTGAGCTTGAAATGTAAGTTTGTATTTTTCTTTGGCTTAAACAAAAAAAATAACACAAATTGAAAGGAGCCATCAAACTTTATGTATTTTTTTTTTTTTTTGACTATCAAAAAGTTTCTCTGGATGCATAGCATTTGTTGTGATATTTAAAATCATATACAGTTATCCATCCTCCCCCATTCTCAATGCAAAAAATCTTAGCCCAAATGCTTGATTTCCTAATCTTAGTTCCTGGGTACTAGTAGCAATAGGCATTTTATTAGCTATAAATGGCCTCAATAAAAGTAGGATTGGGCCAATGGTGATTGTACCTGAGACAATTAAAAGCTTGGAATTGCTTAGCTTAGGTGGTACCTAGGGGTGTCAAACGTGTCGGGTTAAACAGGTGAAAAATATATAAATCCGTACACGACAGGTTTAATAAACGCGTAAAAATCTCAACACGAACGACCCGGGTAACACAACACGACTCGTTTAACCCGTTTAATTTTAAAAAAATTATATTAACAAATTTTAATACTCTATTTTTTTTATTGCCAATTGCACTAACCTCAAAAAAATCTCAAAAAAAAAGATTGTTTAGTTACTTTTTATAGGCAACTCAACCCTCCCTATCTCCCCTCCCCTCATTTTTCAACGTGAGACAAATAAGACTTTGAAGACTTAAAAAAAAAAGTAAGAAGTCATTGTTTTTTATAGGCAACTCAACTCTCACCATCTCCCCTCATTTTTCAACGTGGGACAAATAAGACTTGAAGGCTTAAAAAATAAAAGTAAGAGACCATTATTTTTTATAGACAAATCAACCCTCCCCATCTCCTCTTATTTTTCAATATGGGACAAATAAGATTTGCGTTTGTCTTTGAAGTGTTCCTCGTCTCCTCTCTTTTGCTTTTGAACTACTACTTTATTTGTTTTTTTTATTGATTTGTTTACTTTTTTTTTCTTGTTAATTTTTCTAAATAATTATTAATTTATTATTATATTAATTGTATTTAAACGGATAAACGTGTGATAAACGGTTTAACAGGTCTCACACGAACACGACCCGTTTATTAAACGTATTTGGCGTGTTAACCTGTTTATTACCTAAACCCGTTAAGATCTCACTCAAACCCGTTAATTCGTGTCGATTCGTGTAGTATCAAATTTTGATAGCCCTAGTGGTACCCTTCACTTCAATTTTGTAGTCTTATATAATTTAACTTGGAATAATTCCAAATGGCTCTTGGCAAGTTCATTTTCCTTTTGCCTGCACAATAGATTGGTAACTAGGTTTCGTGGTCTGGCAGAAACTGGTAATAGTTTGTCTGATAAGCAACTACTACAAAAAGTAATAAAAATAATTATTACAAAAGTTATAAATTTTTTATTGCAAATGACCCACAAATTATAAAAATATCCATTAATATACTAAATTTTAGAAGTACACTATAATTTTTTTCCTGGACACCGTCAAGGTTAGACGGACTTACATACGACTATAGTAGATATATTCCTTAATTTTAATTGTTAAATTTTAAATTTTTTTGAAACATATCTCTAAAAATAGAGAGTATTTGTTATGGATTTTATTTTTTTTTACATTTTAGGCTTTTATTGCATTAGAATTCCTATATATATAAGAAAATTTATTTACAGTAAAACAGTAGTAAAATTTTTCGGTCTTACATCAATTTTTTATAAAATAATTTTTTTAGGAAAAATTTCAGTCACGCTTCTCCTAGCTTACTATATCTTTAAATACACCTCCTTTATTATCAAAAATATTACTAACACCCCTTCTAATTTATATTTAAATATCACTGACACCTCATACCACTAAACTATTATTTCTAACAAAAAAATCTCATATAAATACCAAAAATGCCCCTATATAAACATCAGGTAATTTTTCTACATAAAATTTTATTAAAATTTCAAGCTGATTAAATTTAATTTTCTACATATTAAAATTTGAAAAAATTAAAATTCGATTGAAGCTGATGAAATTTTATTTTTTTACGTATTAAATTCGAGCTTATTAATTTTTTTTTTCGTATTAAAATTTGAACTGGTTTGAATTCTACCCGAGTTATTAGCGTCGATTAAAATTCGTTTTCGAGTCGATTAAAATTTATATTTTTTATTTATTATAATTTGTGTCAATTAAAATTTGGGTAAATTAAAATTTATATTTTTGTATTTATTAAAATTTGGGCTAATTAAAATTCTATTTGAGCCAATTAAATTTAATTAACTGAATTTTTAATACGTAAAAAGAATTATAAAACATAGGGGGTATCATTGAAGATATTCTTATCTAGAGAGGGTGTGGATGAAGTTTGTCCTCAAATATGTCATGAAAAATTTAATAAAATTTCATTATAGTTAATATTTTTAATTTGATAGGGTTGTTAGTGAAGATGCAGAAAATAAAGGGGTATCCTTGAAGATGTGGTAAACTAGAGGGGTGTGATTGAAAATTTTCCAATATATTATGAACGAACCCAGACCCAGCCAGAAACCACCTCACAGCAATCCCTGGACTGGTAGAGTGTTGGTGCGAGCTCATGTGGGCAGCTCTGAGATCTCGTTCTCTTCCTCTTTCACCATCATGTTCCTCGTTTATTCAACAATGGAGGTTAGGGTTGTCGAATCTCAATCGCACGCTATGTTCGGTGTTGACTGAGACAACTGATATCGGTGACAACAAAGGCTTACTGGACCTGCAAGAGGTCGAGAAAGTTCTCAGCGATGTTAAAGCAGACAACATCACAGTCATTCCCGTTAAAAAGCACTGCGATTTCGCCGACTTCATGATCGTCGCCACCGGTCGATCCCCTTGGCACGTCCGCAATATAGCTCAAGCCCTAATTTACAAGGCAGGTTCGTCTCTCCCCTGTTTCATGTGGAGCACCAACACACACACACACACACTCACACATCAAAGGAGTGTATATTTGGAGGACTGCAATGAATGTTTGGTTAGCGGTTTAATTTTGTGATGTTTTCAAACTTTTTGGATTTTTGATTTGGGACTCTTTAGAAGTGAAGAATCCTAGAAATGGTGATATTCGGCTACTTAGGTGATTTTAAATGCGTTTATTGCGGATATCGAAAGAAAATATTGTTGATTTGCCTTGTGGTTTTTTGGTTCAAACGGATAGGTTAAGCAGAAGCAAAAAGGAGCCAAGAGGATGTTGTTGCCCAGTGTGGAAGGGCAAGAGGGAGGCAAGTGGATTGTCATCGACTCTGGTATGTATTTGGGTCAGTCTTTCAGAAGCCTTTCACTGTGTTTCGAAATTATTTACTCTAGGGCAATTATCCTCTGTTTGTTTTACCAGTTTCTTTTTTTGTTCCCGAACTGAAGATGCGTTAGTGCTTAGCATACCTTATATCTATTTAACTTTGAGGATTTTTTTTTCAAGCCAACCGAACATCTGCATGAACCACATTAGAGTAGAAGACTTGGTGTTGGTTGGATACAGGCTGTTAGCTTAATTTGATGTCTATTGTGCATGGAGTTCGAGCTGATATAGTTTGCCTAAGGGTAAATGAGTGTTCCCTTGTATGGCCTCGAGAGGAGTTCTACTTGATGCGGTGTTTGCCAGAATTGAGTCCTTCGTAGTTTTCAAACCAACATTTCCAAATATAGGCATCTCACTGAAAGCTTTTATTTATTTAGAGGAAAAAAAGGTTCAAATTGACATCTGGCTATTGAAAAAAGGAAATCTTGTTTGAGGCCTGTTTCTTCTAAGTGCTGTTGGTTTCTTAAGGTTATTGTGTTGGCTTGCATGGCACATTAGAGGAGCAGACTGGCTAACAACTTTTCTTATTTCTTGACATTGGCCTTTCTGTCTTTCTTCCATTTGGTGGGGTATCAGCATTATGTCTGACTTAGCTGCACACATGCACCCTTCACCTGCTTTGGTAAGTTGGTACGCCTTTTCTTTTTGAGTCCACTTGATTAATGCGTTTTACACAGGAGTGGGTTGATTTGGTTATTGTTGGATATTTTTAATTGGGGTAAGTTTGTGTGTGAAGGTCTGGAAAGACTTAAATTAAGACATTGGCCAGCTCAGCCTATCATGTAAAAGAAGATTGGTCTCACACTTATGAGTGGGATAGTGAAATATGTATACGGTATACCCCATGTACCAGTGGCATGTAGACAGAACCTTGGAGCACAGTATTATATGCTAATAAAATTCAGTTTTGGTGGCCAATGACTTTTGACTTATTACATGGATATGATTCCAATGCCATGTACAATGTGAGATAAATGGTAGCATTATTTGACGATCACAATCAAAGTACTATATTAAATTTACTCTTTTTTTTTTTTTCTTTTTTCCTGTTGGGCTGAATTATGGATTGTATCGTGTGTAATAACACATAATGTCTCTAATGATACGGAATCCATCTTTTTGACTTGCTTGCAGCTAACATGTCATAAACATGAGTAGTAAAGGCTATGAGAATTTTACTTTAGATATTCGAATTGATGAAATTTCGTTCTGTGAGCAGAAGTAAATGTGGGAAATTAATATAATAGAGTCTTTTTAAATATCTGTGCTAGGCGAACATCTCTAGCAAATTTGTGGCTGTTAAATGCTTCTTGAATCTTTATTTTTTCTTGATTTTGGGTGGATATATTTTGACTAGGCACATTGATAGTTCATGCTCTTGATGAGAAAGTGAGAGCTTATTACAATTTGGAGAGGCTTTGGACCGCAGAGACATCAAACAAAGAACAAACTCAGGTGACATGTGAAGGCTACTTTTTAAGTGGTTTTTTAGCTGAGTATTTTTCAAGCTGTTCCACTGGATCAGATAACTTGTGGTGAAAGATCTCAACATGCATATTTTCATGTATAAGTAGTTAAGGTTCCTGGTTCCCTATAGCAAATAAAAACCATGTTATGATAGTTAGATTTTTCAGTTCTAGTACATGATCACAGAGGCTAAAAAAAACACATGCCAATGGGCATGCGGAATCCCTATACCAGATATTTGCAGATATTTAAGAATTTAGTGATGGGAAAGTCATATTTAGACCTCTCCATTGGAGATCCAAATCCTTACCCAAATTTGAGTAAAAAAGAGTAAAAAATTTGATTTAGTATAGATTTCTCCAATGGAGAAACTTAAATTTAAAGGAAGAGAAATTCAAATTTAAAAGAAGAGAAACCTTTTTTAAATGAGGACAAATTCAAATTTAAAAGTGGGTAAATATGACAATTGGATCTTTAAAGGAGGGTGTAATATCACAATTGGTGAAAAGGGTGAGGATTTGAGTCTTTCGTTTAAAAAGGATTTATGAGTATGAATCTAGCATTAGAGAAGGTTTTTAAAAGTATTTTATCCCTTTTTTAAAAAAAAGTATAAAAAAGGGTAAAGGCTGGAGATGTTCTAATGTTGCATCACCCGTCAAACTTGCACAAAGACTTAAAAGTAGCAGTAGTTTTACTGTTTGGTTTCTCCAAACCTTAAAATCTTCATTTCACCTATTTTGTTGTTTATTCAGGAATTGGAGAAGGCTTTCGTGAAGGTGCGCCGCAAGAATAACTCTAAAAAACCTGTGCAGTCAAATGGTTAGGATAGTCATCCTCGAGTAATATCCTGGAAACTGTGCTCGACCTCCTGATGGTAATTTCTGCATGAAAGGGATTCTTGTTTTCAACGTATTCTAAAGCTTCTTATCTCGACTTAAAACTGTCAAGAGTTCTGTTTTGCACTGCTCATTCGTGTGTGACTTCTCATACCAACGCAACTACTGATCCACACTGATTGGCTAGCTCGGAAGTATATTTTGCCTTAAGTTTGCATTTGGACTATGATTTTGTAGGGGGGAATATCCCTAACTGCCATAT